CCTTGAATTGCTAAGTCCCTACCAAGCAAATTGGGAAAATTATGGTGGAAGTTCAATCGTGGGCAACATTAACGGAAAAGGGGAAATAAATCAAACTGAAAAAAGGAAGTTTCAACAAGTGCTCAATGAAAAAAAAGGGGGGGGGGGGGGTTAAAAGACTGGATTGAAAGAACAAGGGTTTGTGAATGAAAAAGAAAGAAAAGGTGAAGTGAAAAAAATGATGAAAAAGTTTAAAAGAGAATACAGCAAGAAAAATCTTGGGATAGCGCTTTTGAATTCTAAATTCTTCATTTCCTTAACCTCGCCCTTAGCCCCATTATAGCCTTGATGAAGCCCTAATTGATTTTGAGAACAATGGTGAAATGAATGACCTAGTTGGATAGAGACACATATCAATGATGTTATTCTTTCTGCTTTAACATTCTTTTATGAGATTATGTCAAGATTGATTCGTTTCATAAAACCTTCATTGATTGGAAATATGCAAGATATATTGGTCTTGTTAACATAAATTTTGCTCGCATATACTTGAGTCAAACAGTCATGACAGTTGGAGAGATCTACTCTGAGCGAACTCAGGGAGAATTATTGTCAGTTTTTGAGAGCCAAGAGGGATGGAAATTCTACTAGACAGATCTTTTGAATTATTTGATGTGACACACACACAAGTCTTTGATGATAATATGTGTGAATACTCTTGTATATCATTTAGGCTTAAAAGCACCAAGTGTGATTGGAGTTGAATTCCATTGGCTTATTGTGGTTTTTGTTGAATTTGATAAAAAAAACATTGCAATCGGAATTGCTAAAATGAAGAAGTTTGTAGGTATCTTGCTGAAAACCTTCACAAGACAAAACACGTCCAATAGAGATCACCTAAGGGTTTAAAGGCATATTGCATAAGTTAAATGCAATCGAGGATGCCTACCAAAGTGTTTTTGTATTTCCTTCTTTATATCTCTTTGGTGTTTTCTATTTTTTTGATGATTTTGAACTCAATAGCATCATAATTCTAGCTTTTACTTGTTGAACTATATTGCATAGCTTTTACAAATTGGCATGAATTTTGGGTCATCATATTTCAAGCAGTTAGGATTAAGTATTAGTTGAGTCTAGGGTTAGATTTTCTCTTATTTGTTTGAAGAAAAAGGAAAAAAAATCAAAAAGATGTAGAAAATAAGGGATTTTTAGGAATTCTAGAGTCCTACCCATAGGTCATGTATCTACTACCAGTAGGACTAGAACAAAGAGTTTTGCTACCAGTATGTCGTGTATCTGCTATGGGTAGGAGTTAGGTCTGAGGCATAAAAATGAGAGTTTTTTTGGAATTCCAAGGGTCTCCTAACTCTAACCCATTTTTTTCACTATAAAAGGCCTTCTTACTCACAAGGAACTGGTAGAAATCTCTCTCTCTCTCTCTCTCTCTCTCTCGCTTATTGAGCCCTTCCAAGTTGCCCTTCTTGCATGGGTCCTCATATGGCCAAGACTAGGTCAAGGAGGGACACCAAAGCCACTACTCCGAGTGCCTACTCCTCTAGGCAAACCATTGGGAAGAAGAAGGAGAAGAGAAAAAGGAAAGAGAGGAAGATGGAGCCAGAGTCCGAAGGGGAAGAAGAGTTTTTTCAACCTTTACTAAAGAAGGAGTCGCCCAGAGACCCTAAGGAAAGGAATAGGCACTCTTTGAAGGTTCTCACTTTGCTCATGTTCTCTAAAGTTTTAGATTCGAACAATGGAGATTCTGATTCTATTTGGAGGAATCTTGGACTTGTACCAAGAAGCCTGACTATGCAATCTTCAGTATCTATCATTTGATTACTTTCTCTAATTCAGATGATGAGACTACTAGTTGATCACCGTGGACTACTATAAGTTTTAGGGTTGAGTCTTAGTAATCTAGTTTTTGTCGAAGTCCAACAGAGGAACCTAAAGGATATAGGCTTAATTTTTGAGTCCTTTGAGTGCCTACTATACTTGAAACACTATGATTGGTTTGAACGAATATATCTTTTGATCTTAATGCCTTGTGTTCTTTTAGATTTATGCTTTATAGTTCTATTGTTTTCATTTTTGCTATGGTTGTTTTAAGAATTGGTTGTGATCCATCTTTGTTCTATTTTTGACGTTTGCTAGGGACTAGGAATGCTTAAGTTGGGGGGTGTGATGAGCACTCAATATTGAATTATTTCATAGCCTTTCACAACCAATTTAGTCTTACTAACTTGTTTCACTAAGTGCATTTTGTAGCTTAAACCTTGATTTCGGTGTTGTAGGTATTTTAGGTATAAACATGGAGTTTTAGCATGGATATAATGGCAAGGAAAAAGGTGGCAATGAGTTTGCTCGGGATTAGATGAAGTCGAGGGCCTTACAAAGTAAGTTGAAAAAAAGAGAAGAACTATAGGTAGGAAGATAGAAAAACAAGGTTCAAAGCTCATAGAAGTTTACAAGTTTTCATCGGAGAACTTTTATCAGTAGTTGTATCACGTTCTACAGGTAGCTGAAGCCTCAGTACTTTTATCAAAAGAGTCTTATTGGATTAACTACTGATAGGAGAAGCTACAGAAGTTCCTGACAGATAGAGAACTCCTAATAGGTCAAGGCAGATAATCCCAGGAAGTTTAATTAAAGATTGGATTTTGCCAAATCGTTTGGGGATTCTCAACCAGTAGAACAGGGAGATAATTTTGGGATTGATATCTTTCAAAGAGCTAAAGATTCTCCTTCCTAACTATTATAAATAGAGACCATTGGAGGCTAGAGAATGGGGGTTTGAGGAGTTTTTCTTTTACTTTTCTTGGTGAAGATTTTTAGGTTTTGAGAAGTTTTTCTTTTACTTTTCTTGTCAAAGAGTTTTAGGGTTAACTCCACAGAATTTTCCTTTAAGTTTAGTTCTTTTCTTTTATTGTTCAAGCAATACTTAACTAGGGTTTTAACATTTATGTGATTGATTGAATAAGTTATGCTTTCGAAAACCTAATTTGTTTGCATACGTCCCCATTATTGGTATGCAATTAGACTTAGTACAAATAATTGTTGTGTTTCCTGCAACTTTTAGCGTACCGATTCTTCCATCATAAACCATCTTTCAATTGCTACATTAGTTCTTTCCAAGTTTTTAGTTGAAAATCAGTCATCTGTAGCGGTTTGAATGCAAAAGCATATCAGTTGTAGATTTAAGGTGGAAACTCTTATATTCATAGGTGGGATGAATTTTGAAGATTATCTAGTTTTTCCATTTATTGATTTCAATTTCATTAGTAGTTAACTCTCACAATTCTTCAACTCAAAGATTTTTTCATTTTATTTTTACCTTGGATTCCAATTCGTTCCCTAAGGAGACGGCTTTGGACTTTTGTTTAAGTTACTACACGATATCTTTCTCTTACATTTGGGAGCTTTCATGAAAATACAACCCCTTTGGAGGGGTAGGACATTTGCTTCACCAAATGGCACCAATGATTCTCTTCTCCTTTGAACAAGTAGGTAGCTAGCCCAACCTGGAGATCCACAGCAATCCCCATGCTATCACACATTTTTTGAACTCTTCTAATCCACTTATCTACCTCCATTAGATTAGAGCTTCCTTGGAAGATAGGTGGACGTTGCCTCGAAAATTTCCAAAAAACCACCATCCTTCGATTCTCGTCCCCAATATCTTGTGCCTGAGCCAATGACCGAGCCACACCATTGTGGTTGTTGTTTCCATTCTGCTATTGTACCAACGTGGTCAACTCCCATAAACATTGGTAGATACCGTTCATAGCATCCGAAGGAGATGGTGGTGGTGGGGGGTTCACCAAACCTCCACGTCCTCATTCTCATCCCCGTCTATCGTTCATTCTACACAACAAGTTACAGTATAGTTTCCTTAACACATGGCGAACCCTAATTCGCACTAAAGTCCAAATCCTTAAACTTGTATAAGATTCGAGTCTATAATTTTAATTTTTCTTCATCCTAACTCTCTAGTGGTAATCCGCAACTTACAGCTCCCAAGTAAGACCAAAAGCCTAAGCTCTGATACCAAACCTATAACGCCCAAAAATTCACCTTGAAAGACACTATGATGTACTATTCATCCAATCATGAGAGCAACTAAATGCAATCATTCAAATATTAAACCATTCATTCATTAAATTCCAACTTTTTAAAGACAATAAAAGGTTATAACTTCTCCAAGCTAACAAACCAAAACCAAAAAGTATCACGCAATAGAATTAAATAAATTATTCAAAAACATTGTTTCATCAAAACCCTCAAAACCCTAAACTAATCACTAGAATATGTCTACTCCTCTAGGGTAGGATCCACATCTTGATTCTCCATTGCCTCGTATTTAACCTGCTCATCCACATCAATATTCCCCTCTATGCCAAAATTTGTACATGTGGTTGTAAGGGGTGAGCAAAAAGCCTATAGGAAATCTCTTTCAAATCCAAAAAAGGTTTTGTAAACATTATAAAGATGGCAAGTCTCTTTTCAAAAAATAACATATATACTTTTCTAAAAGTAAAATAATGACATTAATAATGATTTCAAGTGTATGGAATATAGTAATTCAATGAAAAGAATAAACATTTAAAAATCATAGTAATCAACGAATAATTCATTAACAACATCTCAATTGTCTCATATATCTCATGTATGTTGGTTGCTTCTTAGGAATCTACACAACTATCTTACCTTGTTCACACACCACAACTACATCACAAACCACTTTAGGAATGGCGTTTATCGTCTCACATGACATTGACGAATCCTTCCCAAGAAAGGTCAAGTCTCTTCTTTGAATCTACAAGCTCATGATACTCACTTTCAAGAAAGAACAACTTGTCCTTCAAGGACTTCTTTTCTTCCTCAAGCCCACAAATATAAGCTTTGAACTTAATCATGTTCACAATGAGTGCTTTCTTATCATCTTCACTCATTTTGAGCCTTGTACTCAATGAAATTAGCCTTTTCTTTTGTTTGAGGCACTCTTCATACAATTAATTATATACATTTTGAAGGTCATCATTGCTCTCAGTCTCATCCTCACTCATAACCTCCTTAATGGAACTTGAAACTTCTTCTTCCAAGTCTTCTACCACAGTGGAAGGACTTGTTCTCTCTTCAACTTCATTCTTTGAAGTTTCTCTAGGGAGATAGGAGTGTGAATCAATGAAGTCCGTAAAATTTTTCTCATCTTCTTGAGAGGACAAGTACTCACTCGATGGGAACTCACTACTAGTGTCACCCCACTTAGCCTTCATTGTCAACCCATGGCACTCAAAGCATTGGATGTCTTTCCCTTTGTTCTCAACCTCTTGTCTAGAATTTCGTCCCCTTTTCTCTCTTTCCACCTTAGAATTTTTTGGTCTCCTCATCTTTCTTTTCGTCCTAGAGGACTCATTAGCCTTTAAATACCTTTTGAACTTTTTTGCAAGATAGCATACGTCCTTCTCTCCCAAGTGGGATGAATCAGATTTATCTCCTTCATCACGAATAGAATCCAATGCCACAACTTTGATTTTTTGGATGGAAGGAGATTCATCTCAAAAATCAGCATCGACCCAACTAGGTCTTCTATTGACTCCTTTCCCATATCAACTCTGATTTTTTAAGGCCATCCCAATTCAACTCTGAAACCTCTCTAGCAGAGATCTAAATATCTTCCATTTTAGTGTGGAGTCCTCATATTTGAACCCAAGGGAAAAAGGATGAGTTGACTATGTCAGATATGATATGACCTAAATAGTGTCGTACACCCAAATATAAGTGGTTAAATTGCAATATAATTCTCGGTCTAAGTTCGAAGTCGAACCCACAGGGAGCTAAATATTGGGATTCAAAACAGAAACAATGAAATTGTCATGGATGTAGTGTGCGATGGAATAACTTGTGATGTGAGCTTAGAACAATTAAAAAATCACTTAATTAAAACTGTGAAAAAACAATAATTAAAAGGTAACCATCAATTTGGGGATTCCACGTGCATTATATTGTTTCAATTATTGGAAATGTCACATTACAACAAATTAACTCCAATTTTTTTGGAAAGTCAACCAGTAGGTCTGATGTATATTAAACCATAACACAGGAACTGATTAGGTTAGCCGAATGGTATCTATACCATGCATCAATCAAATAACCCTAGTAAACCAGAAGGCAAGCCATTCAGGAGGAATACTATAGTTATTCAACCAGTTGGTTCATTATTCAGTGATGACGAGATTTCGATTTATGCATTGAATCAAAAGCATTGGCTATGCCGAGACTTAACTCGTCTATAACCAATCTATCAACTATTACGTAAAGTTTAACCACGTACATCACTGTATCATGCATGAAGTACATAATAAATACAGATAGTATGGTATATAGTACCGCTTGGTGTCCATAACCATGGGCATATTATAAATGTAACTATCCATCACTTAAGGGAGGAATAAACATTAAAGAAAAAGATAGAACATCGACATTTCCATAACTTAAACAATATCGTACTGTGTTTACCCTTCACCGAAGGGTATAAAAGGACTACTCATGCCCCATTGCTATAGACGAGTAAGAGGTGCGATATAGTTCCATTACAACAAATAAAATACAAAACAATCCTTCCCCGAGGAATAGTTGAAACACTACCACTCTTATTACTAGTTAGGGCACAAAAATGGGAGAGGTTCAACCCTCCAAGTAAAAAGGAATAAACATAAATGTAAAAGTAAAAGAAAAGCTGGATGGAAAGTGGTTCGGCAGGGCTTCGCTTTACTGTTTCTCTCTTTCTCTCTTTCTCACTGACTTTTTGACTCTCTGTGAACCCTCTGAACTCTCCTCTCAAGTCTCTGATGGAATCCCTTGAAAATGGAAGCTGAGGCTACTATTTATAGAAGCTGGAGGCAGGCTAGAGGTGGTTAAGCTTGGACAGACCAATCAAGGTGAATTGTTGCATCAATGGACTAATAGGATGAAGGCAGAAGGTTGAGGCAGTTTGCCCACCGTCTAGACACCACCACCACCGTATGGATAGTGGCAATCCTCTAGTTTTGCTCCTTGCTTTGCTTGATGTATTGTTGATGTAGTTGCACTTGCCTTCCCTGCATGATTAAACTTGTATAGTTCCTTCCCACTCAATTCGCGTAATTCTACACAAAACCCTAAAAAATTTCAAGTTTCACGCATTAACCCTAATTTATGCATTTACCCTAATTTCACACAACTTGTTAATGTAATTCATTAACACATTTAACCTAAAAAACCTAATTTATTACCGCATTATTTAGGGTTAATCAAGATAGTTTAGTATAAAATTACTAAAAGTCTCATTCTCTAACATCCTTAAGGTCTCTAATTGGGTGGTGTATCTCTGTAGGCGGGACATTTTCACTAAGGGTTTACCTCCATGAGAGTTCCCATGCCTCCATGGAAGTCTCACAGTTGAAGATCCTCCGAAACTCATTTAGGGAGATGGCATTGAAAATCGTATTCAAGTCTTAAAAGTTTCACCCTACACATTCATATTCATTCTTTATCCATGTGCTTTGGGGTTTTGGCCCGGTCACCGTGTTAGTCCCCTCAATAGTCCTCATCATGGGAGGGGTCCAACCTTCCAACACTGACAACCAAACACATTCATCTAAAGATGTATAGGAAAGCTCTCATTCATGCCTTCCAATATGCATAGTTAGATCCATTGAAGAGCGGTGGTCGCATGACCGATCCTTCTTCTCTTTGAGAATCTTTTAATAACCAACTTGTAGTTACAACAAATCTCAAAGGAACCAAAAACTAAGTATGTAATCAAACATGCAATGTGTGTCTACAATGTGCCTAACTCAATCCTATAGGGAGACTTGCTCTAATACCAATTGTAAGGATAAATGATATCATTGTGCAGAATGGATCATCCCTCACAATTACAAACGTGGGATTAAGACACTACCTAGAGGGGGTGAAAAGGTTAATTTTAATTTTGATTGAACAAACATAAAGTTATAACGTAATCTACCACAATTACTTCTTTCCCAAATTAATTAATCATTAATAATTGAGAACCCCTTTAACAATAACAACCCATGAACCTATGACAATTAGTATAATAAATTTGTCAATTTTATTGATTAACACTCAATCTCTCACAATGATACAAACTAAGACAATCAACCTACTACCAAACCACTATGTATGATACGAATACTTAATCAATTATATTAACACGCACTGTTTGTGAATGCTACAAATCACAAATGTGTCGAATAAAGTAATAAAGAACACAAGCGATTTGTTAAGGCGAAAACCCTTTTTGGAGAATCACTCGCGGTTCACCAAAGGCTAATCCAATATCCCTCAATTAATCTACAAGTACTCGAGTCTTATACCTCAACCAATACCATAGTTAAACACTCCTTTCCTTTAATAGATCTCTTCATCTGATATCCCCCACCTATGTCATGGATAGCTTCACTTGAACTCCCCGCCGCACGATTTTTTAGGCCTCAAGCACTCCTATGATGCATCCAAGAATCTTGGAATACACTTTATTCAAGTGGGTTTGGTAAAACCAAAGAATTTCTTCTTCTCCAAGGCGTGAGGGTAGATAGGAATATGCCCTCTTTTTATAGGCTTGGAAAAGGGTTTGTCTCAAGAACCAAAAAAAATACAAATTTACAAACGATCGCCCGAGCAGTGGGTGAGTGATGGGAAGACGGTGGCTGTTGAGATAAAAATAAAAAATAAAAAATAAAAAGAATTCAAACAAATGTAGTAAAGCAAAGACCACTCAATTGACCTCATGACCAATCAAGTCATCTCAAGACCGCTAGAGCAGCCTGAGAGCGACATGGAGGGTTGTTATCATAGCCCACTCATTCGGTCTTTCCCAATTTTATCCTTAAGTGTTCAGAGATTGCTCTAACAAAGATTAGCGAACATAGGGGGGTCCCTACTGGTTTTTAAGCTAGAAACAAGCAAAAATTTGTCTCCTTGAACACTTAAGGATATTACTCAAGTACAGTCTGATTAATGACTCAAATCTATATTTTCAAAACACAATTAAGGTTTAGAAAAACTTTTCTTTGAAAAACACTTAGGAGTCATTAACGAATCAATCACCAATTCCATTTTACCTAATCAACCTAAGTCTAATAATTTTAACCAATGGTGCTAAGGCCTCTAATCAACCTTTGTCCTAGGCGAGAAGGTGCATTACAGAAAATCTCTTAATGTAGCTTGAAGCATAATCTCCTCCCTTCCATTGATGTTATTGGATCTTCAACTTTGTAACATTATGACCACATCATAGGTTGAGATTTACAAAAAAGACTTTGAGAAATTAACTAATTACAAACATGATCCTAATAGTGTGATTTGTAATCTTTTACATACTTGCAAATTGTTTTCCTTCTTTATGCTTGAAAGAATGATTGATTGAATCCAACGTGTTTTTTCACTTCAATTTTCCTATATATTAAGGTGAATTGGTGGACAAAAATTGGAATTATTGAATTGGTGGATTGTGTTGATTTGAGTTCCATTAATTTTACCAGACATATTCACTAAAATGGTCAAGGTTCTTTATCACAAAAGGGTTTAAATTTGTAATTGTGTAAGCCGCTTTATTTGGGCATAATTCCGCATTTGCATAATTAAGACTTATTCACATCCGCTGGTTTATACTTTTGTTACTTCAACGTTTAAGGTCAATCTCATAATTCACATTCACACTCTAAGGCTTAAAAATACTAAGTTCTCTATCCCCTAATATGACTTATAATAATGCACTCAACTTTGATTTGGTGATGAAAAAGTTAAAATTTGAATGATTAAAGGCAAAAATAAGAAAAGAAAATCTAATTTGTTTTTGAATGTTTTCATTTTTTTTTTCAAAATAAAAGAAAAATATGGTAGATGCGCTAGAAAATGCAATTAAAAGTAAATCCTAGAGAAAATGTCTAAACTAGACATCAATACTCTTTTTGAATTTTTTTTTGTTTTTTTTGTTTTCTCCTTTATTAAAACAATGTAAATCAAATAAAGAAAAAAATAATTACGATACTAGTTGATGTGATGTAATGCACAAAAATATATCTATATAATAAAGTAGCTTACAATTCAAATCTCAAAAGATAAACAAAATATCTTTTGCTATTCGCCGTCGCCGCCACCGCCACTGCCACCACTATCGCCGTTGCCGCCACCTCCACCACCACTGCCACCTCCGCCGTTGCCACCACCACCATTGCCGTCGCCGTCGCCGCCGCCACCAATGGCACCACAATCATTGCCACTCACCACAACTATCACCCGTCTCCTATCACCACCACTACCGCCTACCACCTCTTACCCCCACTACAACTGATGCTTAAATTTATTTATCTCTCATTTATATTTGTGATTTAAATGTAAATATGAATACAAATGTGTTTATTATTTACTATTTTTTATTACTTTGTGCCTTAATGCACAGACAATAAATAATATATATATATGAAACCTACTGACTTGACTAAAACCTGGCCATGGCAGATACTTTTACCAGCCTAAATCGAAGAAAAGCCAAATCTTCATATTGTGCCCAATTTACCGATTACTTCTTTACACCCTACGTCCGTTCGTGCAATTCATTTCAGGCACAACCAATGCTTATAAAAAGCAAGTGGCAGCTAAATTCAAAGTGAACCCTCATACAATGTGGTTGAATCCAAGCTTTTATTGCAAGAGCTTGTGGTAAGGGGATGTTTGTTATCATCTAAACGTTCTAGAGAAAACATGGCCACTGGAAAGTCATTAGTACTTCACTCCTCAGCTTAACCAATTTGAAACTTGATGGATACATTCACATAATAAACAGACAGCTTCTAAATAATAAGTGTCTGCAACATGATTTTTGGTCAAATGAATCACGAGTCTACATGAGACATTACAAATATCCACAATTCCAGATTCAACATTTGTGGAAAACCCAGCTGCACAATATTAAAAGGGACCAGGCATGAGGCTTCAATATTGATCTATTCAAACAGGATAACAAAAAAAAAACTGGTTAACATCCAGTCAGAAAACAGCAGGAAGAAAGGTCTCAGCACATTACTTAACGAGAAAAGGTCTCAAAATCTCCCTAGCTTGAGCAACTAACATCAAAGAACCAAGAAAAGTACAGCACAAGGATGGGCAACTAATTCTAGCAAGTAAAATTGCTCGGTCTTTGAAGAATCTGTACTGCTGTCGCTCTTGTGCTCAATTTAGACTCTCCATCTGCAATTAAAGGTAAACAACATATTTACTCCCAGTTACTAAAAAACACGTTAAAAAACTAAATGTGACTGAAATGTGGATACTAATATGATGTGGTAAAACTAAAAAAGATATTATTAGAAATGTGTATGTTCGTGAAACTGTAAAAATATGACCAATAGGAGATAAATTATGAGAGACTCCACTTCATTGGCTTGGACAGTGTACAGAAAAGTACTGCACCAATGAGGGAAAGTGATGTGATATCCATTGATGGTAATGCGATAGATGAAGGAAGACTCAGATTAACTTTGAACGAGATAGTGATTTAAGATATGGTAGCTTGTGGTTTAATAGAAATATAGTTGTTGATAGAGCACAATGGAGAAACAAGATTCGTGTAAACCCTATATAACAGAATAAGACTTTGTTGTGTTAAGTTAATTTACCAACTAGATAACGTAACACAGGCAGCTAAAGGCTCAAATACATGACCTGCATCCACTCTAAGATAACTTAATTATATGAGGATATCATATATGATACAAAAAGAGTGCCACTGTAAATGAAAATAATTAATGCCACAGTATGCGGGAATTGAAAGTCCAATTGAAAAAACAGGTACATGCAGTAAAAAGTTGAAGGCAAAAAAAGTAAAATGGGCTGTTAGAATCCACCCAGAGAACGGAGGCAAATAATTCATTCACCATGTACCTTCCAAAGGCCATCATTTAGATAATGCATATTATCCACACCAATTCCCTTGTTGATGGCCCTTCTGCAATGACAAGAAATTTTTTTTCAGGTAACAAAGAATCAACTTCTTCGCATAACTATGATAAGAAGTATGATGAATTCACAGATCACATAGAACTTTCCATTTATTTAAGAATTAAGCATGTTACCTGCATTCCCTTTTATCAAAAGCAAAACCAATAACCTTCAAAATAACTACAAAATATACAAGGTCATCACCTAATGGCCCAAAAGATACATGAGTCTCTTTATCATAGATCCTTAAAGCTTGGGAGCCCGGCAAGTTAACAGTCGATGCACAAGGATAAATCCCTAGCATATATCATCCTGCCCTAAAAAATAAGCTGTTCCAGTTTATTTATCAACCCCCCCCCCAAAAAAAAAACACAAACATAAACACAACAAACACAAAAAAAAATGTCGATATAAACACGAAAAATGAGGGTTGGAAATGTCATTTAATTTTTTTAACATTCTGTTTTAACCCCAGTTAAAAACTTCAAGTATTCTTTCTTTTTTCTCATTGGTGATCAAGTAAAAAACTTTCAACTTTTCTATGTTTTTCCCCTTTATTTGATCTTCAAAATCCTCATATACTATCTTACTGACAAAAACTAAATCAGAACTATTGTTATCAAATTGTTACACATGCTTTAACTGCTATGAGCAATGGTATCTTGAGGAATATCTATACATACTATTGATGCAGGCAACTTGCAATGCACATGACATTATCAAAATAAGCTATTGTTAAACTACATAAATGAGTGATAGATCTCTTTTTTTAGTAACCCAAATGAGTTATAGATATAACGTGCTGATTTGAAACATACAGCAACAATGATGTCTATATCCTACCTAGCTGGATATGCTTTCCAGCAGTAACCTAATGAAATATGATCTATACCATTAACTTACATATCTTTCACGGACATCTTTGTAAAGCCAATAGCTAGAGCATGTTGCTTTCCTTCAGCCATTATAGCCTACAAGAAAATGAGCCAATGCATCAGAACATTATGCTACAAACTAAATTCTGACAATCATGTCACAAAAACTTCGAGGAAAATGAAAAAAAGAAAACTGATTAAGACTATACTTGAACAGAAAAATGATGACACCCCATGGATACTTGCTACATATAATAATACTGAAAACATAAATCTTTTCAAATACGGCAACATTGTGGTAGTGGCCATAATTCGTACCACAGGAGTTTCTTCAGCCACTTCATCATCCAAAGCACCCCCAGGAGATGTAAGCCCAGGACACATTATGTTGGCACCAGCAAGGACAAATTTTATTGCACCCATATCAACTTGTAGTTTTTTCATTATATTTGGATCTGCAAAAGAAAATAATACATGAAATAATTATAAGTAACTACAGGATTAGATTTGGCACAAATTACCAAATATAGGAGTACCTAGGAAGTCTTTAAAAACTACCCAATATAGTAGTCATTAAAAACTACACATGCTTTATTCTGCTAATTTAAGGAAAGATGAGTTTGGATAATTTTGACAAGCTTTCAAACCACTTTGGGATTTTGCAATACAATCCTAATCCTAGGTGTACAATCTGCAGTATTATGACGTGATCCCCAAACAACTTTTGCTTTCTGCACTTAAATACTCACAAGAAGAACTAATCAACCATTCTTTTAAATCCTTAAGACCTTACTCTGTTAGCATCAAATAAAAAAGCATTGAGGTTACCACACTTAAAAAGCTCTCTTTTCACCCCCACTTGTATGTTATCATGGTTACTTTTGGAAAATCCATTTACCCAGTAAATGTTGTTTTGTAGACCACTTTTCACATTCAGGAGGGTTTTCTACGACTTCATCAAATATTAGAAGAAACTAAAGCAATAGGAACCCAAGACCTGCTGGGATCATGTTTTTAACTGGCTAATTTGGTGAAGTCTTATGTAATCTCAACATAATTTCGAGGTCATCAAGCTTCAAAAAATATAGATCCGTAAACAACAAGAAAGGGAAGGAGATCAAGTCATAATGCTATATCAAGACCACTCCGATGTACCTTCAAGCTTAGAATAAAGATAATGACCTTAGAGGTCAAGATCCCCTAATTTAATTTTAAACTTACGATGATTAAGATGAACAAACTGGAATTTGGAATATCCGAAAATGACTCCTAGGATTTTCATTGAAAATATTTTTTAAACCTCGAATGTGTTTTGAAAAGATAGTTTCAGTCATTTATCTAACTCTACTTCAATAACACCCTTTAGTGCTCAAGAGTATAAGTTTTTGCTTGATTTTCTGCTTAAAAACTAATAAAGACCACTCTCTACAAGCTTGTCTTCAACAAGAGTGGTCTTTGACAACTTGGGGATAAAATCATGAAGGCTATTGAGTTGGATAGTAGAGACCACCCTCTGGATCGCTCTCAGGTTGCTCGAGCAATCTTTGCCCCGCCAGAATGGTTTAACTCATTTCTGATTCCAAGTGCAATCGCCCTCTCACCACTCTCCCACTATTCAAGCGATCGTTCACGAATTTTGGATTCCTTGGCCTCCAAGTTTGATCTAATTCGAGCTTATAAATAGAAGAAGCCTTCTAGAGCTAGGGTATGAGTATCTCTCTTGTGGGCTTATTTTCCAGCCTCTAAGCCTTTAGAGAGCACCATAAACCCTAGATCTCTAAAAGACTAAGGCAATCCATCTTGAATCTTCGTTCAACATCACACATTGAAGAAAAAGGTCTTGTTTGAAATCACAAAACCCATTGAAGGAGTGTGCATCCCGAGGACTTAGCAGAAAACGTTGCTCTAAGAATATAAATGATCCATTGTAGTGGAGGTATTCAAGGAAAGTTGTTGTAACTCTGATAGGAAAATTTGGATTGAGAGATTTATTGAAAGAAAGGAGTGTCTAAACATGGTATTAATTGAGGTATAAGTCTCGAATACTTGTTTTGGGCTAGTGAATTAGGTTTTGGTGAACCCCGAGTGATTCCCCACAGCTTTTTCCAGTTGGATTTACGTGTCAACAATTGCTTGTGTTCTCATTTACTTTAATTTGCTTATACAATTGCAATCTAGCACACATGCACACCATGTGCTTGATGGTTTTATCATTCAATCATTGAAAAAGGGTTTTGTAAGTTTGCCTTGGTTCGGATTGTTATGGGAGATTGAGTGTTATTGATTAATTGTCATATTCATTAAATAAATCATGGGCTTTTTGGGTTTGTAAAAGAGGTTTAAATGCCTAATTGACAAATCATTCATCGAATTCGTAATTGTGATGTTCTAGGTTAAAATCAGTGGTTGTTCAAACTAAAATTGGATATTAACCTATTGACTCGCACCCCCCCTCCCCCAAAGGTTGTGTCTTAATTCCACGTGTATAATTGTGAGGGACGATCCATCACACATCAATTTTTCCTAATTAGTATCAGAGCGGGACTCCCTTTAGGATTGCATATAGGCACGGGCAATCATTCATTGCATAATTGCTTACGTAACATAGTTTTTATTTTGTCCATTGAGATGACCATATCCACTAGTCATAAGAAGTGTCTTGTACTGCATACTACATTAAAAGCCCAAATATGGAATAAATGGTATTTCAATAGTGGTAACTCAAGACACATGACCTGGGAGAAGTCTCATTTTTGTGTATTACAGAAATACATACGGCAGAGCGATAGTTACATTTAGAGATAGGAGTGTCTCCATGGGTGTTTGAAAAGGTTCCATTCAACCATTGGTTATGCCTCCTAAATTGGACAATGTGTTGTATGTAGGAAGACTTGAGGCTAACCTAATCAGTATTAGTCAATTGTGTTATGACGGTCATATAATACACTTCACAAGAGAAAAATGCAAAGTGTTGAATGATAAAAAGTAATGTCTCTTGGAACAAGTTAGATTCAGGGGATAATTGTTATTTTGTATCTACAAGTCCATCATTGGTGTGTCATAGGGTGAGCATAGATGACACCACACTTTCGCTCCAAAGGTTAGATCGCATGAACTATAAAGACCTTGGACAAACTACAAACAAGGAGCTTGTATGGTGAGTACTTAAGTTAGGGAAGTCAACTAACAAGGTGTGTGGTTCATGTCAATTAGGGAAACAATCAAAAGTCCCTTATTAGAAATTGATGACAATCACAACTAAGAGACCTCTAGAGCTCATTCAAACGGATTTTATGGGTCCAACTCAAACTGAAAGAATAGGTGGAAAAAGTTACAGCTTAATAATGGTAGATGACTATTCTAACTTCTAAGTACACTGGGGTTGCATTCTCAAGAGAGAAAAGGAGTAATCATGGTAGAGAATTTGATATTCTGATTTCTGCTCATATTATGATAAATATGGCAGCATGCATGAATTTTCTGTACTCAAGACCACAACATAATGGCATGGTTGAAAGAAAGAATAAAGTCATAAGAAATGGCACGTTTCATGATGCACAATAAGGATTTACCTAATAGGTTTTGGGCCGAGACCATAAACACTACATGTTATACTGTCAATAAAGTCTACCAAGGTTCAAAGTATCGGTCAATACTAATATGAGTAGGTCAAGTCATATCCGACTTGGCACCATCTAAGACGATACCGTTACACGATACGGTATAAATCTCAAGTCATCCGAATTGTATCAGAGTCGATCAGAATCACCGAGTTATAGTCACCGAATCGGTCAATACGGTTTCGTGAAATCGCAACATTTTCTTCTTGGTCATATTGCCCGAGACACACATATACGTCTCAGGGTTCTCCGAGTCGATAACCGATACCGCAACTTTAAACCATGGATTCTACCTTAGGTCATAGATATGTCAAACTCCTTACAAGATCAGAAAAGACAAGCCTAATGTGAAATATTCTCGAGTTTTTGGGAATAAGTGTTGCACCTTGAGAAATAAAGAGAACTTACAAAAGTTTGACTCCCGAAGTGATGAAGGAATCTTCCTTGAATGCTCCAATAATAATAGGGCTTATAGGGTGTTTAATTTGAGAACATCTATTGTTATGGAATCCATTAATGTAGCCATTGATAACTCAGGAGAAGACCTTGAGCATGAGAAAGAAGATGAGGATGCTAGTGCTGCATTAGATAATAAGGTTGAACCAGAATCAACTTCCACTCCTTTTAGGAATGATAATCTTCTCACCAAACCAAAACCTTAGTGGGTTTGGCCTAGGCACACCCCTAGTGATATTCTAGGAGACTAGACAAAGGAGTGAGGATTAGGAGACAACTTGACGATGAATTAGATCATAATTGCTACTTCTCTTCCTTTGAACCCAAGAATGCGAGTGAGGCTCTTAAGGATGATATTTGGCTTGTTGTAATGCAAGAAGAGCTAAATTAATTCACACGAAGAGATGTTTGAAACTCGGTATCTAGGCCTAAAGATATCATTGGAACAAAATGAATGTTCAAGAATAAATCATATGAAAATAGTGTAGTTGTGAGGAACAAAACTAGGTTAGTTGCAAAAGGATAAACACAAGTTGAAAGAATTGACTTTGATGAGACCTTTGCACCGATAGCTAGGCTTCAATCTATGAGAGTACTCTATGTCAAAGCTTTGTCACGTCAAATTTAAATTACATCAAATGAATGTGAGAAGTGCATTTTTAAATGGATTCCTTCAATAAGAGGTCTATGTGGAATAACCAAAAGGGTTTGAAGACCCACATCATCCTAAGCATGTGTTTAAATTGAAACAAACACTATGGTTTAAAACAAGAGTTTTCATAGGGTAGTGTAGATAAGACTTTATTTGTGACGAGTGTTGATTGTGAATTTATGATTGCCCAAGTTTATGTTCATGATATTGTGTTTTGTTTCACATTTGATTCTCTTGCTTGTGATTTTAGTGAATTAATGAAATCTAAATTTGAAATGAACATGATGGATGAATTAACCTTCTTTTTAGACTTGCAGGTTAAGCAATTGGAGAATGGGATATTTGTCTCACAGTCAAAATATATGAGAGACCTAGTTAAGAAGTTTAGGTTAGATTTAGCCAAGAACTTGCATACTCCTATGAGTACAAGCATCAAGTTGAGTAAGGACATTATAGGCAATGATGTTGATTACACTATATCGTAGCACGATAGGTAGTCTTCTCTATTTGATTGCTAGTCGACCTGACATTGCCTTTAATGTAGGTGAATGTGCATGGTATCAATCTTGTCCCAAATAGTTACACTTGCTGTCAAAAAGAATCATTAGATATGTGAGTGCCACTTTTGGGTATAGTATTTGATATACCTTTGAAACTAATGCTGAGATTGTTGACTATTCTGATGTCGATTCGAT